TTCTCAACCCACAAAGGTACTAAATATTTTCGCAAAGACTCGCCGCAATATGCACGTGTTCCTCAACCCACAAAGGTAGCTACGCGGACTTAGGGTCTCGTGGCACTCCCTGGCCTTAACCTGCCCTACTACTGACTGGGTATCCTAGCGAACACAAGCCAGTTCAATTGCAAAAATATCCAGATACTGGCTGGGTATCCCAGAAAACACAAACCAGTTCAATTGCAAAGACCAACTCAATCAGCTTTTCCAATCACTTTTACGATGTATGGAAAAGGAGGATATAAGTAGCATAATTTATAGTACATATAGGGCAAATCGAAAATTTGTTACTAATATAGATTGATAAAAAAAATTTGCAATTTTAACCTTTTTATGTATTCACTTTATTCAGTGACTGTTGTCATAGAGAAGTTAAATTTAAAGAAGCAAAAATCTGTTAAATGTATTCTGCAAAATCATTTGATTGCTGTTTTTCAACCACTCAAAGGCACTGCACAAGCAGTTGACTTTTCATCTGATATCATAGAAGAAATTACCAATATGAAAAACAAAATTCTCTATTATCATTTTCTCCTCTATATACTTTTTTGCCACCTTTCAAAATTATTTTTTTCTTTATTTGAATTTTATTACCAGTTACCTCGAGGGCTAAATTTGTACACAGGAGCGATTATGTGAACGTACTTTTGTTTTGGTTTGGTTGCATTAACAAACGCTTCCAAGTTCCAACTGGATGTTGGGCCGGAAATTGGTATTATAGAAGATCCAATTTTTTGGACTTTCACAGAATGGTGGGACTGGTTTAGTTACATAAATGCTGGAAAATTTAATTATTTTCATCCTGTTTGATGATATTATGTCAAAAATAATCTTTATTAAGATTTTATTTAAATAAATATTTTTATTTTAATATTAAATTTCAATAAAATGTGATTTATAAAATTAAGTTATATGTATTATTTATATATATATATATATATATATATATATATATATATATATATATATATATATATATATATATATATATATATATATATATATATATATATGAATCTGGATTGTTTCAATGCTATATTTGCTTACAACATTTTTTCATTAATTTTTAATATTTTATAAAAATACATTAAGTAAAACAAAACATTAAATGTTTTGAAAACTTATAATACAATTAATAATTTGTTGTCAGCAAATAGGAGGATTAATAGAAAGTTACTGTACGAAGATATAAATTATTCTGTACCTTTATCCTGTTTAGTATTTTCAGCATGCTCATCATGCAGCTGTAAATCTAATAAATCCAACCTCATCCATGTTTGAGTTTCTAATTATTAAGGAAAAAACCCTTCCCTTGTATATATTACATTTAACCATGAAAGTAAAGGAGTACTTGCTAGTTAGTCCTAATCAGATATTATTTTCAGGCAAATATCTTGCTACCACAAGTATATAAAATAAATAAAAAAAATAGAACAACAACGTAGATAAGTGATCTGATCCGGCATTTGCTTAGGAGTTCCGGATAATTATTCGAAATAGAAAAAGACTTCAAGAAGGACCAGCCACATGTTTCATTCAAATTAGTACATGCCATTATACAACACAACCATTAGTAATTTACAAAACAAAGAACTTGTTTTTTTTTCTTAAGGGGGAAGGGGGCAAAAAAGAATATCACACAATAACTAGAATTCAAAGAAGATCAGCAGCTCATAGGAATTGTGTTGCTATATCTTTGGACAAAGGGGTGTTTGGTCCTTGGTCACATTCAACTCAGTCAGGCAATCATGTAAACTGACTTGCAGAATTTGTAGGCTCTCTTCGCTTCGCGCTTTTCTTCATCATGTCAACCCAGCTAGCCAATACATTAGACACTTCAAACTTACCAACAAAATTCATCTTTCTAGCTAACTCCTCAAGGATGACAGTATTCCCAGTTTTAGAAATATCAGAAGCAAACTTGTTATAATCAAGCTGAGGAGCTTTCATCCCCTTTTCTAACATTGCCTCTAAATATTTACATGCATCACCAGACCTGTCCTGTCTTATAAGCCCACCAATCAATACAGTGTAGGAATTATCATCAGGACAGCACCCCTTCTGTTGCATTTCATCCCAAATTGCGTGACCCATTTCATAGTTTTTTGTCACAAAATAGGATTTCATTATCATATTGTAAGTGTGAATAGTTGGTTCGATGCCACTTTGAATCATTTTCTTGTATATTCTTACTGCATCATCTGGCATATGCTGGCTAGTCATCAATTTTATCAAAGCATTGTATGTCCTCCCATCAGGTGAACAACCTCTTTCCCTCATTTCCTTCAGTAGATTGTATACCATATCCATTTTTTTCTGCCTCCCAAACCCAGTGATCAAGCACGTGTAAAGTGCAACATCTGGTTGACACCCTCGATCTACCATTTCATCAAAATATTCTATAGCTTCTCCCGTCATCTTTTGTTTGCAGAAGTCTTGTATAATAATTGTATAACTCCGAACATTGGGTGAAGGACCTTTGGCCTTCATGATTTCAAACAACTTGATTGCATCGGACTTCTTCTTACACTTCAACAACCCTTCAAGCATAACATTGTGTGCAACAATATCCGGCTGAAATCCACCATCAATCATCTCATTCCACACCCTCCCTGCTTCCAACAAGTTTTTCAACCTGCACCAACCACTAAGAAGTATGGTGTAAGTTTGCAAATTGGGCGTAAATCTATCTCTCAATTTCTCAAAAACGGCTTGTGCTTCTTTACCAAGTTTAGCAACGCCAAGACTTTCAAGCAAGAAATTAATCACATCCACGCCCACTTTAAACCCATGCTTCTTCATCAGATCAAAGATCCCTACAGCCTTCTTCCTTTGCTTTGCTTCAGCAAAGGCTTTGATAGCAATGGAGAAAGTCTCCATTGTCAAAAGACCCTTCTCACCCATTTCCTCAAGCAATGCCACCATGGTCTCAAATTGTCTAGTCCTCCCCAGAACACTCATCATGCAATTATAAGTTCTAGAATCATGAGCAAACCCAGCCCTCTTCCCAGCCCAACAAAAGAACCGAAAAGCCGGTTTCCTAGCATGCTTAAACCTTTGCAGCACCTTCACGACCAAATCATGCGACAATTGAACCCCACATTCATCAAGAACCGCCTCCATGTTCCTATCTAACGCAAACAATTCATCAATCACCTTGCATACCCTAACAACCTCATCAAGATCTGCACATGATTCACCCCTAACACCTCTACCATCACAATCTTCCTCAACCCCAGAATCAGCATCACTAGCAAATGTCCTAGGATTGTTCAAATACGGAAATTTTTCATGAAATGGGGAAAACGGTAAGGCGGAAAAAGAGCCCAGATGGGGAATCAGCAATTTTTTTTGTAGAGCAAGGAATGGAGAGGAGTGTGGCAAAAGAAATGGAATTTGACAACGAGAATGATGGAAAGTGCAATTAAGAGAAGCACGAAGCAAACGAGACAAGGGCAGAGAGCTACCACAAGGTAAGCGCACTTGCTCTCCTCTTCTTTGCGGTGGTCGTCTCCAATGGAAACAGCGAAGCTTGGTGGCGGAGAAGACGCAGCACGGGCCATGTTGATGTGGCAGTGGTGAATGTGTATAGTGTCGCAGGAACAATGTTAAAGGTGGAACGTTGGAGGAGGTTCTTGTTGTGTGTCCTAGGGAGAGAGTCATCGGAGTGCCATTTACATCATAGACAATAGAATAAGCATGGAAGAAAAATCTAGTAGTGAGTGGAGTTAGGTGTTGTGTGACAATAAAGGAATTGGTAAGGACGGTGTGGTACATGGTGAGGGTGAGGGTGAGGGAGATGGGTTAACCCTTCACGGGCCCTTGGCCCAGTGGAGACACATCTAATGTTTATTTAAATCCAATCCAAAGTTTGTACATCATAGAAAAGCAACTACTTTCAGTCACTTTTTTCTTTTTCTTTTTTATAAAAATTCAATCATACATTTAATTTTTTAATCTTTTAAATTAAATCATTTTAGTTCACTATTATTATATATTTCAACTGCATATAAAAAAGTAGATGTATTTATTAAACTAACAAATGTTAAAGTTCATTGTTAAACCTTATTAATAATCGAAAAAAAAAACATAACTTCTACTTGGACAAAATCATAACATCAACTAAAATTATTTAAATTTACAGAACTGAAAAATCAAATATAATACTAAATTTTTATAAATACTAAATCACGTATTTATAAATTTACAGTGACTATTATTTTAGACAAAATAAAAAAATAGTTGTTTTTTTAAAGAAAATAAACAAAACAGATTGGTTGAATAAGTAAGAACTAAACTCATATTTGGTATGGACATAAATTTGAGTGTTAGTGTGTGAATACCAAAATAGATAATTTATAAGATATACATTTTAAGCCAGTAGAGTTGGAGACTTGTCTTAACACTACAAATAATTAGTTTATTAGTATAGACTCATTTTTAACCATTTTAATAAATAACTATAAAATATATATTTGTAACAAAAATATGTAATCATTATAATGAGTTAATTTTTTTAATTTTAATTTTTTTTCTTGTTATATTCAATATTTAGTGTCATTTCTCATTTATTTCAGTCTATTTTTCGTTTATTTTGAGTTTTTCTATCAAAACTTCTCACTCGTATCTCTAACTTCTAAGCTTTAAGTTTCTTGTTTTTTCGATCGATCTCATTTTGTGTTTCTGTGTTGTAAGCTTCTCCGTTCAAGTTAATGTTCAACGGAAGTTCGTTTTCTAAGTCTAGACTTTGCTGATATTCATGCTTCATATTCGTGTAACTGAGAAGTTTATTCTCTCACAAATACTTATTGCAATAGGTCGGATAGAAGTAATTTTTTTCTTTGGATTAATTTGGGATTTATATTTTAAATTTTGTTGTTTATACGGATCACTATGTATTTTTTTCCCTTGTTTCTATGAGTTACTCACTAGAGAAAAATAATTTCACTTGATAGATGTGTGTTAAAATTTTGAGTCATTAATTAGATAAGAAATTTGAATACTATTAGATCATTTTCACATATATGAATATATGTTTTGAAATTTGTGAGCTTGTTGACACTATATTTTAGTAAATGGATTTTATCAGAAAATGATACATCATAAATTTTATTATAAAAAAATTTCATTAACTTTATAAATTTTATTAGTTTTATCAAATTGCATTGCATCAAAATATTATGTATATTTTAATCACTTTTAAGAGAATCAAACAAATAATTATATTATTAAAACTAGTAAAAAATATATTATATACATTATTAATTTATTTTAAAATAAATAAGTTAGTTTTAAGTTATTTTTAGATTATTAATTTTGCTATAATTATAAAATTATTATAATTATAATTATAATGATTTTTAAAATTATTTTAAATAAAATATACTATTTAATTGTTAATTATAAAACTATTAAAAAATAACTTAAAAATAATAGTTAAAATTTGACTTATTAATAAAATAATTAAAAATAATATTTAAACCATGTTTACCTGATTTTTAACTCTCTAATAAATTTTAAATAATTATAAAATATTGAATATTTATAATAATTTTTAATTATTAAAATATAATAAATAATCATAAAATAGGTGAAGTTCGTAATATTTTAAAATCATAATAAAATGAAAATATAATTACATTTTTGGATGATTTTTAATTTCTTTTCTTTTTTTACATAAATACTAATATTTAAAAAAACATTTATCATAAATTATTTTTCACAAATACAAAATTAAAATTTATTTTAATTTTTATAAAATTTATTTATAATAATTTGTAAATCTTAAAATTTACAATTTTAATCATCATATACATGTATAATTTTTTCTAGTCTAATCATTATTGATTCAAATGAGAATCATAAACTTTTTTTAGTCAATTATTACGTGTATCTCAATCACTTTAATTTTTTTTTGAAAGTAAGTTTTCAAATTGTTGAGTTATTTTAATTGTTTTAATTTACTTACTATTTAAATTTACCAAAAATCATTCATGATAGAAAAAAAATCCACTAAATAAGTTTAGATTTAAATGTAAAAGATAGTATAAATTTGTAAGAATGTACAAGCTTAAGTAATTTCCTATTCATTATGTTTCATATCTTTCCTCTCTCTGAAGCATGTGAATTGTTGCAAACTTTTATGATAGATTTTGGCTCTTTTCTTTGAATAAAAAAATTCTTCACATTTTATTTAATATATTTAATAAATTAATATATATATATATATATATATATATATATATATATATATATATATTGAATGAGTTACTGTTTTATAAGTTAGTTAACTTTTTATCCAATATAGAAAAGAAAAGAAAAAGAAAAAAGCAAGTTATTTCTTGTATTTTCACATTTCATTTACTTTTAATCCAATAGTACAAGAAATTATTTAGACTCTTGAAGTTATGTATGAAATAACTTGATATTTATCAAAAGTCTTAAAACCCTAAATCCCTCCTCATATCGAAATATTATTTTTTATATCAAAATATTGTTTATATTTTGTAATTAACTATTTATTAAATTGGAATTGAATCAAGTTTTTTTTTGTCTTATTATTTTATGTTTTATTATTAAAATATAAAATATACTTGAGTTTGATTGCATTTTTTTAAAAATCAACGGTATTTTGTTATATTTTTTCATAGTTAATTTTAGTATTAACAAAATACCTTTGTTTTACAATATTGTAATAAAAAGGCATTGAATATCTAAAGTTTTAGTTAACTGTGGAAATGATTAAAGGAACATTTTCTTTTTATTCCATTCTTTGAGTTAGTGAGAAAATATCAAAACAAATTATTCTAAAAATTCTACATCGGTCATGTGTGTATTTAAATGTAAACAATCAGAAAAAATTTAAAATCGATTTTTTTTAGAAACGATGAAAATTTTTTGGAACAAAATTTATTGTTTACGAAGGTTATATTAATTTTTTTGGAATGCAAAATTTAGATGTAATTCCTTATGTGTTTTTTATTATGAATTTAAACGTTACTTGAATAAATAACTATCTTGATATTTAACGAAACTTTTGTATATTTAAAAGTCGAAAAGTAAATGCTAATTTAGAAGTTTAAACTTTTTATGAGGAAGTAAACATTTTATATTTAAAGAACATGCTTATACAATATCAATCTTGAGTTAATCTAGGTATTATCTTATTATGAGGAAGAAATGTAATATTTTATAATTTGTTTGGAGTGTATATATTGCCCTCCTTGCGCCAGTTATATATTACAGGTAAGATATTTATATATCATCCTTATATTATAGTATTTCTCTTTGATGTATATACACATGGAAACACTTTTATGTCTTATCTTATGCCAAAAGACAAAAACTGAAACTATAATGGAGGAAAGGATAAAGAAAGAAAAGGACATGGATCAAATAAGGACACTAACTACAACTGTAAGTAACGCCTAAATGTTTGTTTTTTTAGTGAACTGAAACATCTAACCTAGTCTGCATCCTCGTTCTTAAAGATGATAACGTTGGAGGCAAGGATTATTGGGAACTATTCAAATGTCCTTATTTGCTTTTATTTATTTTTTAATAGCCTTGCAGATGTGCAGTTTAAGTCCTGGATGGGAGATAATCATTTCTTATTCTAGATATACAATCAAAACAGGACAACTTATGATTATCAGGTTGCCACCATTCATGACTGCGAAAGGGTGATTATAACATACGCATTTAACTTATCTATGACATTCTCAACATATCTTTAGCTTTAAATATCTTTTTTAATTTTATTCATTTTTTTTAACCAACACATTTATCTTTAAAATTGTTAATTTTCTCTGAAGAGACTATTTAAGTTGAGGATGGAAAGAAAAAAATATAACAAATTATTTGTTTTTTTTTTGCATAATTAATAACACAAACTCCAAAATTTACTATTAATAATACATGAACGATGTCCTTTGTAAACCTTTGTTTCGATATCAACAACACGGCCTGCAATGATGACATTCTAAAATACGCATAAATTATGTCCATATGTCATGCGGTTTTTGGCATGTTCTCATTTGTCCCTTTCATAAATGAAGATACATGTCTTATTATTCAAGCATATAAACCATGCTCCCTTGAAGCTCCAAAGGTTCGGTAAGTTACATAGGGGCATGGTTTGAGATTTCAAAAGAAGCAAATGGGAGCAGTGAGTGATGGAAACCGCAGCAGAAAGAAGTCATCATCAAGAGGGCACCACAGGTTTGTGGGGGTTCGACAAAGGCCATCAGGGAGATGGGTGGCAGAGATCAAAGACTCTCTAAAGAAGGTTAGGCTTTGGCTTGGAACATTTGACACTGCTGAGGATGCAGCTAGGGCATATGACAATGCTGCTCGAGCCTTGAGAGGTGCCAATGCTAGAACCAACTTCGAATTGCCTGAGACAGCAACGTCTGATGGTGCTTCTGAGCGCGGTGGCGGTGATGGTGGTTCAACCTTTGTGCCTGATTGCACTGAACCCTTTTCTTTTGAGGATGTCAATGACCCAGGCACAGAAGCTGAAGGCCTTCTTGGAGCACTTAAGGCCAAGCTGCTTGATGGAAAGAAAGGCAAGTTTCAGTTTCCATTTCTTCATAATGCTGCTGCCCCGGTCGTTCAATCTGGCTTGATTTCAAGATCAACTCAGAATATTTGTTATGGGGAGAAAGATTTATTAGTACCATCATCAGCTTATAACACATTCCTCTCAAGGATGAATGGAACTGGAGCCAACCCTGTGCTTGGTGTAACAAGCACTTTAGCAACATCAAACACTTGTGCTAAGAGTGTGGTTATCCCAACTCATGATCACGAAGATGGTGTGGCAAGCAGTTCTAGAGTCAACTCTCATCAACTTTGTCAAACCCCGCCTGTGGCAACATGGTCCAATGAAGTGGCATATGAATTGCCTTGGCCTACACAATATATGAACCAAGTTCCTGATAATAATAGCCTTCTTGCATCCTCAGCCACCTTGGCATGGCCATTTTCTGGAGTAATGGAGTCCACTGTTGATATGGCATTCACAGATCAAGGGCCGTCAAGTAGCAACAAAAGCGGCCAAATGATGAATATGGGGAGCATGCAGTTGCCTTTAGTTGGTGGTGCAACTGAAGGGCTTTGGACATTAGAGCAGCAACAATTTGTATGTGAGAACAACAATTGGTTTGGTTATAATGGCTCTTGGGATCCTCTCCTCTATGTTCCCTCTGAGCTAGCTTGATAAGTTTTGAATATTGTCTGTTAAAGAAATCATAAGTGTCAATATATTCTTAATATGTCTTGATTACCTAATCATTATTTAATTTTAATTTCATGCTGTAAAAGACCTTCTGTATGCTCAAAGGTTTTGCAATTTTCTTCAGGTGAGTGGAGTAGAATGTTACGTTAAGGGTAATGATAGATGGATAATTCCTCAATATAATAATATATATTATTATTATATTAATATAATATGTTATAACTAATTGTATATTACATAATCAAAGGCCAAACTAATGTTTTTATAATTATTTCTAACCTTAAAATATAAAAAATAATTATAACCAAGTTGAAAAAAAATTTACTAAAAAATATATTATATTAATATAATAAATGAATTTATAATTAAAAATAAAAATAAAATTGTTTGTTCGATAGTGAATTGTCATTTAATTTTTATTTAATTTGGAACCATGATGTCTCAGAATAATACTCTGAACAAACAGGCAACACAAATTTTTCTTTTTTTAATACTTTTTTATTATTAACTAAAATTTATTAAAAATTATATGAATTTATGTCTCACTTTATATTTAATAATTTTATTTTGTAATGCTGTCAAGAAAAAGTTGCTTTTGTAAGTTTTAATAATTTTGATTGATGATAAAAACATTATTTAAGAAAAATCAGTGACTCTCTCTCCTTTACTCATTCGTAAGTCTCCAATGGATTTTTTTATTGAATGATTCGTTGACACCAGCTAATAAATTAATCAAATGTTTTTTTTTTCTTTGCTAACGTATAATCTTTCTTTTGAGCTAAACTTGGAGATGTTAATATTCTTTTCGTGACTTTGTTGTGCTTCTTCCGCAAACATTATTTTTATCAAGAGCAAAAACAATTACAAATTTCCATTTGGTTTGAATAGAATTAACTTTTTGCAAAAGATGATCGTGATTTCATAGCTAAAGAAAAGTACAACAAATAATAATATCTGAATTAAATACTCGAATTAATTAACATTATATTCCATTCCACTCACATTCCTCCGTATTTTCTTAATTTTGACTCCCAATGGGACAATCTGTCCCTAGAAGTATGGTAGAGTTTCTTGACTTTACTATTAGGTGATGATAGGTTACATTTTTTCTACAACTTAGATAAAAGAAATATTTTTTTAAAAGAGAAAATATATTAAACTAAATTCTGGTAATATTGCCGGGCAAAAGTGCTAGCAATGTATATATATTTTCCTTAACCCAGTAATATTTAAATTCTGGTAATATTGTATAAAAATATAAAAAATAAAAATCTTATTTAGGCTGAAGGAATATGATCATATGCTGCTAGCTCCAAGAAATACCTTGCCATTGTATTCCCCGAGTACATCCTAGTTTTAGGAAAATTTCATGACCAATAATTATTTGGTTCCACCAGCACCTCCTTTGTAAATTGTTTTATTGGGGATTGAAAAACTTGAAATAACTTAAGATGTAAATTTTAATTTCCAAATTGTGGTCATTTGATTAGTTGATATTTATATGACGAGGTTCAACGGGGAATCATAATACTTAAAAGTAGTGGTGGGTATGTACGACAGGGACAGGATCGACAAAATCTACAAGAAGAACAATCTATGGCAAATGAAGGAGGCTTTATGTGCATGCATGTTAACATTCCCTTTTTCAATCTTTAGTGCACTGCACCCTGCCCTGAAAGGAAAGCAAGTGTTATCATAATGCTTAATTAGCTTTAGATCTTGTAGATGAAGGGTACTCGTTATTACGAGGCTCAATATTCAAAAGTAAGTTAATAAAGGAATCATGGAAATTTGTATTCAAATGGAAAGTGTTGCACATTGTTGCAGAAAAGCTTGAGGGAGAGGAACCTCACCCAGCTATGAAGCCCAATCAGGAACAGTTGACATCTTAATTAATCCATGTTATGCCATGCTTAAGTTCTACAGAATTTGTGCCATTTTTCGGATCATCGGTGGCATCCTCTCCACCAAGCCAAGTAGGCCATGCATGCATGCTTATGCCAATATTGGCTGGTTCTGGCATCAAGATAATTTTGTTTAATTAATTTTCACTTTTGTACTCAAAGAATATAACGTCTCTGATCGTGAAGATTTGAGGACAATTAATTGCCTCCCCATCTTTTCTCTTGCAAATTTCCTTTGGAAACTAAGTGTACAGCCAAAGAATATTAATTGCTGGATTCTGATCTTAAAAATGAAATTAGTTATTTTGCACATTTAATACAGATCTTAAAAATATTAACTTTAGAAAACTTTTATAATTAGCTAAAAATATATGATAAACTTTCGAAAATTTTTGTAAATAAGATAAACTTATACTATATAAGTTACAAGTTAAATCAACCTAGTAAATACTTATTTTAAGAGAAAATGTTCACCTGTCATAATAATAATATTAAGTGTCTTCTTATCTCAGTTATAATTTGAATTATCATAATCAGTGTTGTGTTTGTAGAATTACAAAATGCACCTTCTGCTCCTTCATTGAAGAGACAATCATTCTCCACCACCACTTATTGTCTTTCAAAACTTTCTTGTCGTGTTGTCTTTGTTTTTTTTCTCTCTCTTACAATTTTTGGATGCGTTTTGTTATTTATTTCTTGTCTTTATTATTGTTAAATCTTGAGCATTTTGATGCCGTCAACATCTGTCGCTAGTGTAAACCTGCATTGTAAGTAATGTTCACCCATTCTCACGTTTCGTGGAACTACACGTTACGAAGTGTTTTACTTTTTGGCTTAATGTTTGTTGCCAATAAATCTTTTGTAGCTTAGTATTTGGTCTAAGATAGAAAATACAACAAAAGTAAAACATCTAATATACTTTTATCTAGGAATAATTTTTTTATTATTCATTTTTTACATCTAATATTTAGACAAATTCTTTAATTAAATTATTTTAACTAAGAAAAAATTCATAAAAGTTCTTAAGAATAAGTTATTATTTTGATGTAGGTGTTAACGCTGATGTGAAAGTTATTTATATATAAATAATTTTAATTTATTTTTAAGCAATTTTGACCGTAAAATCCATATCAAATTAATCCATTAGCTTATTTTTATATAATTTAAAAAATGGAATATTATATACAAGTATAGAAAACAAAATTATTAATAGTATAACTTTTAGAATTTCAAAAAATAAAATAGTCTATAAAAATAAAAACATGCATTAAAACGCAATTTTAAAAAATGTAAATAATTTTAACAAAAAGTAATATTTCCATTTATATACATCCTAACTTTGTACGGTTTAACAGAAAAATAAAATAAAATAGCTGGCATACTATTTAGTGATTACTTAATATTATCAAATATTAAATAATATAAGCTATTATTATTATTATTTAATATTCTTCGTCTTGAATTTGATTATATTTTATCCTATTATTCTCACTTAACCAGACCTATAGATTTCTTAGCATATTTTAAGAACTTCATTAATGGTTGAAACCAAATAACCAAGAACATAAATCAACTAACCTGTAATATCAACTTTATGTCCTAGATATATAATTATTATATAAAGAAAAGTTGGTGACTCATAATACACCAACATTGTTTGAGCAGTATTTGTCTCTATACCAAAAAGGAAAATGAATTGAAAACCTTTCTTTCTTACAAAAATTTAGGCAAAACCTCTTAGCCGTCCAATATTTGAGCTATTTACAAATAAATCCACATTAAAGAATCTAATTCGTAAGTCATGCCACCTGAAGACTCTGAGCTACTAATTCATTGGATCCTTAATTTTCCATGCCTTAAATGTTTTCCCTGCTTTAGTCACCACTATCTTATTCTCTTGCCTTCTAAGTGATTAATTTGAAATAAGATTTGACAATTTGTTCTGGCTTTCCATTAATTAGAGCTGGTGGTATGAAAAGCACTAGATGCCATTTAACTGAGGGGAGAGAAGCACCATTTCTTGGACAGTCCCACCCAAAAGATGCCTCTCACCAATTATAGAAGCTTCAATTTCCCAATGGGGAAAAAGAAGAGGGAAAGAATGAAACACAGCCAACTTCCTGCCTAGGTGAATTAGACATGCAAAAACACGTGGCCTATATTTGGCTAAAAATGTCAGTCATAGACCATGAATCAACCTATTAATCTTTGTACCAGCCCTTAATATGATTCTGGAATAACTCCTGATATTGAACAGAATCAGTCAAAAGAAACTAAAGGAAGAGTATAAATATTAAACTATTGCCAAATCTGGTTGCTTAAAGTGATGGATGTAACCGCAGAATTTAATCTTGCTTTCTTGCCACTTATTCTGGAATATATGTTTTTAATAAATCCACAGGTAGCTCTCTGTGGCATTGCAACTATTTCTTTCAGCCAAATAAAAAAAATAAGGAAGGGAAAGCTTCACCCTGCCCCATCAAGAGCTGTGGAGGAATTGCATTGCTGAAATGAAGAGCACTTGTGATGAATGGAAACCTTTTATAGTAATGATAGCAATTGATATTTCTTTTGCGGCAGTGAATATTCTTCTTAAGAAAGTCCTTGAAGAGGGGGTGAACCATTTGGTTTTCATCACATACCGGTTGTCAATTGCTACTATCTTCATAGCTCCAATCGCCTACTTCAGGGAAAGGTTGGGACTCTCAATCCCTTGATTTCGTAGTTATCTTGTTTTGTGGGGGTTGTGAAGTCTATGACATTGTTAACTTGCAGATAGACCAAATTGCAACAATGAATTATTTTGAACTTACCCACTCAGCAACAATTTGCTTGTGTATCTCGAGAATGTTAAGCTAATCAGTTTTTTCATTATTCTTGCAAGATATCTTACAAACTTTGACCATTAATTTTTTATTTATTGAAGACTAATTGCAACAATGAATAATTTTGAACATACCCCGAGCACCAATTTTCTTGTACAATAATGCTCAAGTGAAGCCATGTAGTTGAAAGGAAATTAGACATCTAATAACTCTGACCATATGTTTTTTTTACTGCAGAAACGACAGACCAAGGCTCACATTTCGAATTTTATGTTACCTCTTCTGCAGTGCCATTGTTGGGTTAGTAATAAAAATTCAAGTTTTTGTTTGTCTTTTCATTTCTCACTAGGACATTGTTTCTCCTCATGAACTTCCGAAGTATCTGTTTTGATGATTGTCGGGAGACGCTTAATGAATACATCTTTTTTTTATAGGGCGTCAGTCACTCAATACTTTGTCCTTGTGGGGATCCAATATACTTCTGCTACCTTCTCTTGTGCTTTCATCAACATGGTGCCAGTGGTCACATTCATGATGGCATTACCTTTTGGGTATGAACCAAAATTCAAAGCTATTTTATTCTCATATTCTCTGGGGGCAACCCACCATCACTTGATGCAGGGTAACCATGTACTATGTTCCTTTTATCTCTTACAGATTAGAGACTGTGAAAATCAAATGCAACAGTGGGAGAGCTAAGATTCTTGGTTCATTGGTGTGCATAGGTGGTGCATTGATGTTGACACTTTACAAAGGAAAGCCACTGTTTAATTTTTCTCACTATGAATCTGCAGCTTCTGTGGCCAAGAGTTCTACAGTGAAGCTAGATTCTACAAAGACAACTGAGAGATGGACTATTGGTGTAATAGCCATGGTTTTGGGAACCATCTTTTGGTCTTCTTGGTATATTTTACAGTCAAAAATAAGCAAGAGATATCCTTGCCAGTATTCTAGCACAGCCATGATGAGCTTCTTTGGAGCCATTCAATCAGCTGTTATTTGCTTATGCACTGACCACAACTTGTCCATTTGGGTTCTCAAGGGAAAGATACAAATCATTGCTATTCTATACTCTGTAAGTTCACTTTTCCAAGTCATGAGATACAGTACCCGTGTGGCAGTAACATTCCAGATAAAATTGATTAAAGACTACAGGTGATAAATTACTTATAAAAAGGCAAGTGAGAATTGTTCAGGAAGTAGGTTCTCTAACGTGAGTTACTCACTCACTGTAGAATGTAAAGGAAATAATCGAAGTTATAGATGAAAAAATTAACCGTAAATATTACATGTAGTTGTCTATCACATCTTAAAATATCAATTATTGATTTTGTCCTTATGCCTGAGTTATTTATTTTAACTTACTTTACAGAATCAAATCCTTTGTTTCGTGGTTTGGAAAATGGGTGGCAAATTCTTAGGCTATGTCTAGCTTTGCGTGATGCTGTTTCCTGATTCGAGTTGTTGTGTTAAAAGAATAGAGAGAAGATAAAAGCATCTAATACAAATAATGAAAACTGACAATTGATTGGGAAAGAGTAATTTAGAAGTGGAAACAGTTCTATTTACGACTTGGTTAACAAAGTGTAAACAATTTGTCTACAGGGGATGATAGGATCAGGTTTGTGTTTTGTCGGAATGTCATGGTGTGTGAAGAAGAGGGGTCCTGTCTTTACTGCAGCATTCAGTCCTCTTGTTCAGATAATGGCAGCAATGATTGATATCCCTGTATTGCATGAACAGCTCCACCTTGGAAGGTAATTCACTTACCTTTATAAGCAGGTGTACCCTTGTACATAATATACACTGCTTCACAATTGTGCATCAATCCCCCACATTTGAGGCTCCAATTCATATATAGTAACTAAAGTTATCCTTTACAGAGAAATTGTTGAGATGTATGTGATTACATATACATAACAATTCATGATGAAAGAACAAAAAAAAATTTAGACTTACATTTTACTTAAATTCATAACAAGTATGAAGAAAAAGTAGGAGTTGAGAAGGAAAGGAAAACTAACATTTACCTGATCCTGATTTAATTTTCCTTGACCTGGTTTTCTAGTGTGATGGGATCCATCTTGGTGATTGTTGGATTATACATTCTTCTGTGGGGTAAGAGCATGGAAATGACGAATCTTGCGAAAAAGTCAGTCCAAGAAACTGAAGAAACCAAGGAACAAGAGCCACAACCGCAAATACAACAGTTGACAGTGTATGTTCACGCAGAATCGTGCGATTCATAATACCACTGACACCAAGTCGCATTTATATATGTATGTTCATGTGTTGCCTAACACTTTGTCCAAAGATTTAAGGTTATATTTTAAACAATATATGAGGAAATGTCCAAGAGCTTTGGTTGATCGGTTTGCCTTCTGGAATAAGGCAATGTACTTGAAATCGAAAGAAAAAAAAAGAAAAAAAAAAAAACAGATAGAATTGTGAACTTATAAAGTCAAGATATTAAAATTGCAATAACGTGTAAATAATAACATTTTAATCACTTGTAATCAAAGTTTTTCCTATGAGACCAGTTTATGCTAAGTGGTGGCGGCGAAGCATTATATTTTATTGATAAAATAATTGGTTTTTTGAATTTTTTTTTTTTTCAAACATGATAATAGGATTTGTTGAAGTAGATTTATCTGTAAACACTTGTAAGAGAAAGAAAATATGAAAAAAAAAAATTGACTCATGAATTGTAAGTTAAAAATTTGAAAACGTTAATAAAATATTGGCATTTTTGTTAAAAAAACAGAACATAGTTTCATATAAGGATTTGTTGAAGTAGATTTATCTGTAAACACTTGTAAGAGAAAGAAAATATGAAAAAAAAAATTGACTCATGAATTGTAAGTTAAAAATTTGAAAACGTTAATAAAATATTGGCATTTTTGTTAAAAAAACAGAACATAGTTTCATACAGTTCTTTGGAGAATGTTGAAAATAAAGAAATCACATCCACAACATGGACAATTTGATATAAATATTGTACATTGCTGATCAGATAGAATATAGAGTTGCAAAAAAACAAAGTTTAGACAAAAATTTTGATACATAAAAACGGGAGGAGATATTGTAGGTTATAACAACGGAAATGAAACATAAAAATAATATTTATATATTTTGTATAAAAAATATATTTTTAGCAATAAATAAAAGACTTAAATATATATTTAGTATGGTAAAATTAGAGAATTTTTATTTTTTTCTTTGTTTTTTCATTTTTATAAATTTTGAAATTATCCTTTTTTATTATTATAAAATATATGAATTTTCATTCTCATCCTTTTAAATTTAAAATATTATATTTAATTTTCATCTCTCAAGATTTTTAAATAACTAATATTAGCCATTATATTTATTTTAAGATAGAAAAATAATGTTTACTCTACAAATTTTATATATTTTTTAAGTGTCATTTTATAAAATTATAGTATAATACTAATATGCGTGATCTAGAATAATTGTTTAACTTTTTTTCTTCAACAAATAAACAAGTAACCGTTGTTATAAATAATACTAGGAATTAAAAGTAGTAGAGTAAATATCAGATTAATTAATTTAAAATAGTAAATAACTTGTAGACCTTTAGTTTAGGGCTCAGATATGGGAACGCCCAACCTGAAGAGGGTAAAATCGTAAACAATTCTCTAACCTGTTCCTTCAAGTAAAAAACGGTGCGTTTATGTTGTAGGGAAGACCAAAAATGAGGTGGGGAAGTGACTAGTGCGGCGCGCTCCTATTACCACCGTTGACGTCGGTGGCGGCGGCGGCAGAAATACCGCGGGACGGGATCTCATAACGCTGGTCTCTTTTCCCCCACTGTTCCATTTTCAGTAAGGTTATTGTTCTTATAGTCGATTTGGGGTTGTTTTCATTCACTCCGTTGTTTCTAGCAACATCTCGTTTGATCGTAATCACTTTTCGATATTTTCATTCAGATTCAATAGATTTTTTTACCAACAAATTACATATCTTTTAATTTTTGTTTAATAGATAGATGTTGATTGAAAGAGGAAGATAAAGAGTTGTATTCTAGAATGAGCCAACCATCGGTTATACTTGCCACTGCGAGCTATGATCACACCATTCGGTTTTGGGAGGCCAAGAGTGGCCGCTGCTACCGCACCATTCAGTATCCTGATTCGGTTTGTCTTCATTCTTCTCCTTCCTCTTTTTCATTTCATTTGTTGGTGGTACTTCAAAATTTGTATAATTTGTAGGTTTCTCAGATAAAACCTAATAACAAATATTTTTCTAAACACTGGATGATGAGACACATTATTTATAAATGTTTCTATGCAATTTGAGACCAATATTAAACTTGCATAAACTTTCTGTTGTTCCCTCTTTTATTTAATAATCTGCTGTTGGATGTACTGTGCCTCTTATGTTTTAGTGTTAAAATTATGGCGTGCTTAAAAGCTTACTGTTTCAGTTCTTCTGTGTTTACCTAATGTTCGATGGTTGTTATTACGTGCTACTAATTTATCAAGAAGAATGTCGTTTTTTTTTTTCTTGGTGTGCTTAAGTTTCACAACTCATGAACTTGTTTTGCCATATCTTATTTGTACAGCAAGTAAATCGGCTGGAGATTACCCCGGATAAACGCTACTTGGCTGCAGCTGGTAATCCTCACATTCGACTGTTTGATGTTAACTCAAATAGTCCCCAACCGGTAATGCCCTTTTCAACAAATACACTTACTTCCAAGTAAACCATTTCTTTTCTGGTTCCGAACAATTTATGTTCCTGGTTTTGTGGTAGGTAATGAGCTACGATTCACATACGAATAACGTAATGGCAGTTGGGTTTCAATGTGATGGTAATTGGATGTATTCTGGTTCAGAGGATGGCACAGTTAAGATCTGGGACTTGAGGTGAAGTAGATAGACAACTAATGTAATAAGTTTGTAATATGACTTGTGTCGTTAAATACTTTCTTGATAATCATTTCTTATATGATAACTAAAATGCAGGGCTCCAGGTTGTCAAAGGGAATATGAAAGTCGTGCAGCTGTAAACACTGTTGTGCTACACCCAAATCAGGTTATGTTTCACCATTTTCTGGTGGCTATACAATTTATGCCTGGTTTACAAGTACTTTAGTCATTAAAACAGAGTATAAGAAGCTAGAATATGTAACATGTAATGATGAAAATAACTAATACATGAATCGGATTAGTGACTTGGACTGAATTGGTATTACAGCATATCTGTTTTCATATTTTATTGTACTTCATTGAATTACATATAACTATTGGTTCAGTGATTAATGTTTAGATCTGGATTCTGACATACTTTCAATCATAAGTTCTTGTTTCTCTTTCATTGCATTTCAGTTGAAGACTCTAGATACTCTTTTTATATTAACTATGGTTCCTTAATTTTGCCGTCATACATTACTATTTTAGGTTATTTGTTTTGTGGTTCTCATTCATCTGTCTTATTTTTTGGTGATCCAACAGACGGAACTAATCTCTGGTGACCAAAATGGCAATATCCGTGTGTGGGATTTGACAGCAAATTCATGCAGTTGTGAATTGGTATTCGTTATGACCTTTTTGTTATATACTGATATCACTGCAGAACAAGATTCAAAATATTTCTGTAAAAATTTTAACCCTTGTAATTCTCTAGGCATACTACACACTTCATGCTTTCTCTTTCAAACTTTCCTCATGCATATACCTTGAAACCCTAGTATAGAACCAATGCACTCAATTGTTTCTTTCTGCACTAATTAAATGGTGTATAATTTTTTTTTAATGTTTTTACCTTTGGATTGTCATTCCCCAGCTACTTATGCATAGTATATAGTCCTAATTTGTAGAAATCAGTGCATCTCTTTGTGTTCTATCTTTTCTATCACCTTTTGATAAATACTTTGGATGAAACATTATTTTCAATATGTGGAGAAATGTAGGTGCCAGAGGTGGATACAGCTGTACGCTCCTTAACCGTAATGTGGGATGGGAGCTTGGTAGTTGCAGCAAATAATCATGGGACATGTTATGTGTGGCGCCTGTTGCGAGGAACTCAGGTTGTGCCTTCACACAAATATCAGAATGAATTTACCCTGCTATCAAACTTTACTTATTTGACCCGGTGGAATATGTTTTTGTGCAGACAATGACAAACTTTGAGCCTCTTCACAAGCTACAAGCGCACAAGGGATATATCCTTAAATGTCTTTTATCACCTGAGTTTTGTGAACCCCACAGGTTATAAATGCTATGCTCATTTTTTACATTTTTTTATTCCTCAGTCATGTTTTAATTAAAATTCTCCTCCTGTGGGCTTTTGTTCCACAGCTAAGATATTACAGTGAAGCTCACTTATCGTTCTAAAGTCATATTCATGGTCCATTGCTTTGAGACTGTGCTTATCTGCACTTGCTTATTCAATATGCAAGTTGTCTACTAGTATTTAAATCTCTATACTTGTTTAAGCTTGCAATATGGAAGTTGTGGCCACAGTTTAAATTAGAAGCATCAAACATTTAGTATTGCACCTTACTGGTTCTCTAAATTATGTCTAAAATTTTCGACTGGATGGTGGTCTCTAGGTATAAGCATTTTACAATATGGATGTAACCTTGATTGGATAAGGGTTCAATTCAGCGTTCCATCCCTAGTGCTGATAATTTTACTGTCAATAAGTATTGATATGTTTCTTAGTTTCTGTAAGATTTTAACATTACTTTGATGTTGTTATTCTTTTAGGTACTTGGCAACTGCATCTTCTGATCATACTGTCAAAATATGGAATGTTGATGGTTTTACACTAGAAAAAACTCTAATAGGTAATTCATGAATTCTTGTGATAATCAAGTGCTTTCCCACGTTTCCCAAAACTTCATTTTCCCTAAGTTTGTTTGTGCTTCCCAGGTCATCAACGCTGGGTGTGGGACTGTGTATTCTCTGTGGATGGTGCATATCTTATTACAGGTACTAAGTAATTTTTCAATAATTATCCATTTTGTTATTGGCGTTCAGCAACAAGATATTGTATAAAAAATTTACACTATCAGTTTCAAAATCTTTACACAATGATTCCAAGTATTATGAAGAAAGTGTACGTGGATCACTATTAAATACTAGCTATTTATGGCTTTAATAGCGCTATAATCATGCATTTGTTAAATTACCTTCTATGCATTTAGAGCAGACTGGAAGCCTTCAGTTCACAGAAAATATTCTTTGAAGGCAAGCTAAAAAGGTCACAGAAATGGCTGATTCAACTAACAAGAATTTTTTGTAGGGGTGTTCTTACATAACCAATTGCTATTCATGTATCCTTGGGCTAAATAAAAACAAAACAAAATAAAACCCGTTTAATGTTCCCCATTTAAAGAAATATCAGAAATTCTGTGTGTATACAACTGAATTTTATCATCTAAGTTAGTAATGTGGTAAGTATGATGGTGTCTCAGAACATTTTTTTAGGCTGACGAGGGAAAAATAGAAGGAAGCATTTGGTAGAGATTGTTGATGTTAAAACATTTGTATCACCTATACATATGAGTGACCTGTCCAGGTTGTGACTAGTTTAACTACTTAGTAACTGTTTACTGATCTGTTAATGAAAATTTAAAGTGACAACATTTCTCCCATCACCTGCAAAATAGGTTCCTTTCATTACCAACCACTATGCTTGATATGTGATCTTAGAATTTATTAATAATCTCAGAATTTATTAAAGTATAGTTCCATTTATTTAAGGCACATTTTTGTTACAGCTTCCTCCGATACAACTGCTAGACTCTGGTCTATGTCAACTGGTGAAGATATTAAAGTTTATCAAGGACATCATAAAGCAACAATTTGTTGTGCCCTACACGATGGGGCTGAACCCGCTACATCTTGAGATAATGGTCATAAAGTTATTTTCTCATAATACATCTTGTATTGTAAATAATAATCCGTTTTTTTGGTAGTGAAGTTTACTATAGTTCTTTGAACGGTGAAAGACAAATGCCTGGAATAATCTTAATTGTAACATAAGAATATTTCTAATATTAATTGCGTGGAATAAATTTAAATTGTCTGTATAAAAAGGTAGCATCCGTAGATTATAATTAGAAACAGTTGTCAATTTTTAGCTGTTTTGATGGTGTTATGCCACGAGTTGTTTTGAAGAATTTTCAGCTGTTTTAAAGTGTAATAGGTCATTATCTTTTCTTATCCGAAATTAAGAATTCGTTTTTCGTCTATTTTATCCAAACAAAAACTAAATCTGATTCTGTCGGATTATAATGAAAATTATTATACGTATAATTGATTAGTAAAATAATTTAAATTTTTTATCTATTCCAAACATATTCGGACAAGCGAGTAAATATCTGACACCCTTTGTTTAGGTAGATGATTGGGTGCACTAAATTGGCATACCATGCAAAAATCAAGAAGCCAAACCATAGAATGTAGAGATCAAATCTGCGGATGGCTGGGATAAACTTGTGTTAAAGGTTGGGATGTACTTTTTCTGTGTTATGTTAGATGAAATGTAGATGGAAAATTGGTTTTATGTAAAAAAAAAAATTAGTTTATCCTTATTTGTATTAAATAACATTAGCTTTCTCTAACCTATTTTTATAAAAGTTTTTTATGCACAGTGACTATTGAACTCATCCATTACATTGATTATTTTTACAATGTACGTGAATTGAATGTACCTCATCAACTCATTATATTCATAAAGTATGAAGTACAAATTTCTGATATATGGTGAGCACCCTCCATTAATTCTTTTTTTACATCTTTTATGTATTTTAACAAAAATCAATTTTCTTAAAATAAATTCTATGAACACTTTTTTTCCTGATTTGACTGAAAAAGGTAATCTCATCAACCCAAGTTAACAAAATTAAATCAATTATAAAGAAGGGAAAAAAAAAGAAAAAGAAAAAAACTCACTGAAAAATGATGCTATCTTCTTACATTACATTATTGAACATGCAAAAACGTTTTCATCATTGAAGGTATGATTGGGATAAATATGTTGGGTTGCATATTGAGGAGGATAAGTGTATATTATAATAGGTTCTCTGCATGTTTCATTATTATTCCCTTCTTTGATGGGTTCTCTTTTGATCTCCTCCTTCATAATCTCAGCTTGTTTTCTTAGTTTCTTCTTCACGGCTTCAACAAGTTTTGCTCCCTCCATCGTTCCCTTCACAGTGACTCGTGATTTTTCTTGGTCTACGTCCACAGACTCAACACCTATCTCATAGTGACAAGTTAAGTGTTACACTATATTTTATCTTAAAGAACTTAATTAATCATCTTGATTAACTTCAGTTTATTTTTTAAAAAGTTTAATATAATTTTTAATGAACAGAATATCTACCTTCCATCTTCTCAACTGTGTTCTTGACATCTCGTACACAGCCTTGGCAATGCATATACATCTTAAGCACCACAGTTTTTATTTTAACCTGCTTGCAGTAATAAAATAAAAGGATATAAGATAAGGTCGTGTATATACATGAGATTGTGACAAAAAAAAACGATTAAGATAATAAATTATCATATCATTATCATTAAAAAATTAAAATTTACACCTGTTCCTTTTTAACTTGGATATTTTTCTGTTGGTTTTCTGGCTTTGGTTTTGGTGAAATTAACTCTACGTTCTTGCTGTATTTCTTTTGAAGTCTTTCCAAAACCATGGAAGGATTATTCACAACTTCACCTTTTACCATGACCCTCTGATGTTCTCTATCAACTTCAACATGTTTCACTCCTAATCATGGTATAAACATCAAATTTGTTAATTGCATACTAACAAGAACACAAAACAAACACATGTATATATTATTATTAGTAGTACTAAAGATATTTAGTGGAAAAAATTTTACCTGCTAAACCTTTTAAACACTTGCAAATTTTGTCCGAGCAACCTTCACAATGCACAAGTGCTTTCAAAATAACAACCTTCTCTGACTCCTTATCGATATTTTCTTTCTTTTCCTCCTTTTTTTGGAAAAAAAAATGTAAGTTATGTAATATTTTAAGACCAAATCAAGCATGCACTTAAACTTGTAAAGTTTATTGATGGATATGAAAGACTTGAAATCAAGTATAAGCCATTCAGGTAGAGAGAAACGTGAATCATTGTATAGTTGAAGAAGAAAATGTAAATGATAAGTTTGACTGAAAAAATATATAAAGAAGTAGAAGTTGCCTACATTTTTCCCCATGCTTCTCACTCAACTAAGATGGGATGATTCGGACCTTGTAGATTTATATACTCTGATCATTATACCACTTTCAATGGAATAATATTGAATTTTCATAACTCACAATTAATCTATACATTAATGTTTTAATGTTCATTAAATTAATATCTAGAAGTTCTAAAATTGTCACAGTACGTATAATGCTTATGTTTCAACGTTCATTGATAAATTTTAAGGAAAGATCAATACAATAAAAGCCAGAAATAAATTAAGGAGATTTCATTATATATATAAAACAAAACTGTTTTCTTTTACAGAAGATGTTGTAGTGTGGACCACATTTAACATTATTATGCGTTACAGAAAACATGAACTGTTACATCATGCTTGATATTTCTTTACCCGAAAGGGAAAAGAAACTTATGTAACGGCAATATCATAACCAAAATGGACAAAGTTGATTAAGTTGGTTTAATTATCATTCATAAATAATGTTACTTCGTTATTGATATGAATTTATTCTGATAGCAACTTTCTGCATATGGATTCAACAAAAAAAAAAAAACATACATTTAATGCTGGGCATAGCAACCAGTAATGCGGGTGCCTATTTGCCTATCCCAATTTTTATTTTTACTTTCTTAATTATCTCATACTTTATTTTGGATCTCATTATCCCTTCCATTAAGTTTTATGTTTTTTCATTTCCGATTTATTGTTCTGTATTTTTTTTAACATAATTATATTTATAATAAATTATTTTTAACAATTCTTATATATTATTTTTTATATATAAATAATTTTTAACTATTATTAATAATTAAATACGTATTTTAATTTATTATATTTATATATGTATATAAAAGAAATATTTAACATTTTTTTATACCGAAACATGTTATTATTAATTATTATTATTATATTCAAATATTTAATTATATATAAGTTAATTATTTTTTAATTTATATTATAAAATATTAATAAATATGAATATATAATTTAATAAAAAATATTTAATAAATTAATTTTTATTTAATTAATGTAAAATAATAAAAAAAAGTATTCTTATAATATTTAGAGAAATTTAAAAAAGAAGAAAATTATTTTTATGTTTTGTAAGAAATTAAAAAAATTAAATTGATTGAAAAAATTAAAAAAAAAATAAAAGTGTCAAATATGAGAAAAAAATATAATAAATTGAAGAGATTGAAAAATAATAAAAAATTAGTAAAAAAATGAAAGAATATAAAATATAAAAAAATTACATAAAGAAAATAAATATTTTTAAAAAAATAATATTTTAAAGTTTAGATTTAAATATAAAATTAGAATTGAAAACTGACTCAAACGAGGAAATAAGTTATTCATCCCTATTATCATTTCCAGTTTTTTAAATCCCAAAAACATTTAATTGATCACTATTTAATATAAATGTTATTAAAACATGTCATTGAAAAACGTATTACATTTAAGTCTCTTAACATTTTTTAATAAGTTTTATTTATTCGCTTAATACTAAAATACTATAATTTAGTGTTATAGCTCTTCAATTTCCACAATCATCTTAAGAAATGATGCAAATGACAAGAGATTATTTTTAAAAAAAATACTTGTTGTAAACTAATTAATCACAATTAAAAATGCGTTTGCTGAAATAGAATAAAGTTGAACGCGTTAAAATCTACGTGTAAAATTCCGTAACATTATTTGCACAACTTCTTCCAAAGAAATAATCATACAAAAATGTCAGCTAAACAAAATAGAATAATTGTTTTATTCACAGCATAAACAATTTTAACCAAACTTTGTTGTCTCTTTGAAATCAAGTGACTATCCACACAAGAAAGTTTAGAATGAGTGGTGTATAATTTGATTCTGAAACAAATTGTTATGTCTATCTGAGGAATTTCTTTCCCAACGATTAAGTTTAAATTAGTTGTGGTAATAAATATATAATTTCGTTTGTAGAAGTGATAACTTATATTAATTTGATAATTAAAGGTTAGTATTTAATCATCAAAGTTTTGATAAATTAGTTCGTCTCTGTTAATTTAGTTAGTGCTGGTGTGAATGCATATCAGAAACATGACATTTTCACATCAAATTAGTTTCTGGATTTTTCAGCTGATATCACAATAAAATGATTAATTTGTCTTGAAATTTTAAGGCATCGTGCAATTGCTTTGTTCATTAGGAAGTCTGACTCAAAACTCAACTAGGCATAGTGTTTACAAAAATATTATTAGCACGAAGATTACAATTTTACTTACATAGAAGAACGATCTGAAATATGAATGAACCAACAACGAAAAAAAACACAACCAAAACCATATAAGGAAAACATGGTTATTCAAGCATACATGGAACAGTGGTTTAAGATTGACACAAGATGTTTATTCCTTTCAATTAAAAGCGAAATCGATGGTCACTTTTGGGAGCTTCTTTATCTTTTTTCTTTCCCTTCTCTGCAGGCTTCTCAACCTTGTGGTGGTCGCTTTGAGGAGGTTGAGGTTGATGAATGAAATCTGAGATATCGAAATGCACACCAGGGTCATTGGCATGGTAGCTACCACCAAACATGATAGAGTTGTTGATGGCTTGGAAGTTGCTATTGATAAAGGTGCTCAATGTTTCAGGCTCACCAACACTGGTCTTTTTGCCTGATTTTTCATCCAATTCACTTCGCAGTGTTGCTCCATCGTTGGTTCCAGCAAGGGTAATGATCCTCGTGTCATTTTCATCCTCCTTCTCCAAATGGTGGGTGGAGCCTGATTTGTTAAAATCAGTGACACGATGAGTGATTGCAGACACCATCTCTCTAATGTCTCTGTCCAAATGTTTGTGCTTGTCGGCTTCAGCAGAAGGAGGAGATTGGCTTGACCTGGCTGGTGATTCTGAAGGCATGATTTTGAGGTGATAGAATGAAAATTTTCCCTTAACAACACAAGTGTGTATTTGGGTGTGAGTTGTGTAGAAAACATGATTTATTTATATTACAAGAGGTGAAAGAGTTATAATTAAGTTCCTGTGCACATAACTAAAGGTGTGTGGAATGACTTGAATGGCAATAAGAGGATCTGCAATTTGCTTGTGATGAGCAGAAAAGGTTAAAGAAGGATAGATGATTGCTTGGCTATGAGTTAACTTGTTATACTTGTGTCATGGCTCTGTTCTTTCCATTTCCAAGGGAAAGAATCTTGCTTGTGCTTCGAGACTTATTATATACAGAGTTAACCTTAACCAACCTTTTTTGTTTCCAAAATGTTCTCAACCCTCCTAGACCATGCTTCACACTGTGTCTTTTTTTTTTTTTTCTTCCTTCTTTACGTCTTACCAAACAAAGAAAAAAGATATATATTTTTAACTTTACATCTACGAAAACAAAGAAAGTTGTTATTAAAATATATTTTAAAACTACAATACTGCGAACTTAGTTTTCATAGATTATAAATATATATTCAAATTTGGTGAAAGTTTTCTTTTTTCTCCAATTATGTACATATATATAATCAATTAATAATTGACAGATTTTTAGCTTGCAACGTGGCACAGACTGAGGGGACACATCATCATATCACGATCAGTTCTTTCTTTTTCTTTTTTTCTTTTTTTTAACGGATATAAAAGTTAAAGGGCGAGTGAGAGGATAAGATTAGATGTTTTCAACCAAAACAAAAGCACACTGAAACACTAAACTGGAAACCGGTTACCATTACCACCTGTACCCTTTGGCGGAGTGGCTGCGCCGCTGTTATTATCTCATTCAAACCGTACCCTCCAATACTACCGGCTACCCAGGTAAACTTCCCCCTTATTCTCTTCCCACATCTCATATTTAAACTAAAAAATCTCTCGAAACGCAGTGTCTGCTTTCGAATACAAACTCAACCCGAATCAATTGTTGGAAAATAGGGATGATACTGGTGGCGATCGTGGCGGAGGTACTAGAGGAGTACACGGCGTTGCTGGCGAGGGTGGTGGAGCAGGTGTTCCGTTCCGCCCCTGTCCCTCGACGGGTTCGTTTTCTCATCCTCCGCACCCTTCCCTTTGTTTCTTCTCGCCCTAGGACCATTCTACCCCCTCCTACCCGCTCCTATTAGGATTCTCCGTCTTTCTCCCACCCTCCCAATTTTGTAAATCTTTTGCATCTTTTCATTAACAGTGGAATCATACTCTGTGTTGTTTAACCTCTCTTGTGTTTCTTTCTCTATTACTATTTCCATTTAGCCTTGTTTGTAGCTAAACAAAATAAAATGTCTTCAGTTACTATAATTCATTAAAGAATTTAATTCTCCTTGTCAGTGTTATTATTGACAAAAATTATAACAATATTCGGTAATTTAATAACAGTGAACTATGTGATAACAGTTGATTCAAAAGTGTGTTTAAGACACTATATGATTGGTTGTGATCATGAGAAAAAAAAAAACTTCATTTTGAAGCTGTTATCAATGTTTATCTGTAAACATTATATCATCAGCATGTCATTTCTCCTGCATAACAGTGAAGATGCTCACTCCCTAACGTTCTGGACTCTTCCTAAACTGGAGTAGGCCTGAACCATTTAGAGGAAAAAAATGAGATCGAAATTATTGATATTCAAACAATTATATTACATATGTTAATGTATTTCATTTATTATAGTTTTAATCATTAGGATTTGACTTTTCTTAATATATATATATATATATATATATATATATATATATATATATATATATATATATATATAATAAAGGAAGAAAAAAGTATAAGGAAAAAAATAAAATAAAATTTTACAAGAAAGTTATATTATTTTTTTAACTGTTTTTAGTTTCATAAGAGATCATAAAACATGTATTTCCACTTATCTATAATTTTATATTATATAGAAAGAGAAATTTTCTCTCTGTAATTACTTTTGGTACTATGGTATCATGGAAAAGTAAAAGAAAAAATATTGTCGAAATATATTTTTTTTATCAAATATATAAAAAGAAAAAAAACGATAATGAATATAGGATACAATTATATATATTGTTTATTTATCAAATATATACAAGGAGAAAAAGAAGTGATAAAAATGTGAACACACCTATGTCTTAATGATTTTAATGCTATGTTTCTACTGGTAATTTAGAAAGTTGGTAGTTTTAAAAATTGCCATAACTATGTATATTTTTATAATTACATAAGTGATTCGAATTTTGAGACTTTTAAAGAATTAATTGCATGAAGAGGTTGGACTGCAATTGGCTTGACCTTATAATTTTTTTATAATTAAAAAAAAAGAGTGTTATATTTTGACACCAGGATAAAAATTATATAATCTTATTTATTAATATTAACCTTATTTACTAATATTATATTCATAAAATAATTAAAATAAAATTAATTAAAAATTATTATTTTATTAATAAGTGAAATTATTGAATAAATTATTATTGATAATGAGTTGTTAATATATTTTTTCTTTAACACCACCTACACTTTTTCAACCTATAAACTTGAACCAGCATTGCCCCATGTGAGAGAGATGGAATCTTATTTAGACATAATCATAAGTTATCTTTGTTCCACTACTATCTCATTACAATAAGAAATTAACATCTCATTGTTCTCTATATCCTTTTCAACTCACTTTCACGTGCCATGTTTACAATATAAGAGATATAAATTCTGTCCTTCTGCACCATCCACGTTTATCTGGTCCCTAAAGTTAGCTTCATCGTTCAATTCATCCAACCAAACTCTCCTTTTATTACCATCTCATTCTCCTTATCCACTGTCAAAACTAAATTAAAAACACAAGTACATCTCATTTCCAATTGAGCACCTTCAAAAAAATATTAAATATTCTTCAAATTTTCTAAACAAAAATTTGACTTTACCTGCTCATAAAATTTTCCTGACTTTCAATCTTTACTTTTGTTTCTAATAACTAATGTGCATAGTCGTGAATTTCACAATTTAAATTTTCTCTCGTCACATTGGTCAATATGCAATATGTAATATATATATTCTATGGTGATGTTTTTCATTATATTGTTATTTGTTTTAGTTATTTATTATCACTCTTCTATATAGGAGGTCAAATAAATATTTTTAAGTTATCTTAAGTTTGCAGAAAAAGATGTAAGGCAACCATTTTAAAATGAATATATAGTGTTGAGATCTTTATATGTGATTCGTTCTTCAATTTTAATGTTTTGTTTCGGGAAATAAGTAGTTAAAGATGAAATTTGAAGAAATAGGTGAATATATTTTTTTTAATTAAAAAAGTGAAATAAAAACATAATTGTGAGATTTTTTGGTTTGAAAAAAATTATAAAAAGGATAAATAAATTTGGACTTAAATATATTTCAATTATCATAACTTATCAAATTTTAATTTTTGATTATTATGAAAGAAAAAAAAAAGTAATCATCTACCATTTGAAATCACTGTATGTAATTATTAAAAGTAAGTTAATTTTGATTACAATCCATGTAAATATATATTTCTATTTATATTCATCCCTCCACAAATTAAAACTATTGGTATTAATATTCATTTGAAATAGAAGTATCAAATTTATATATCTTAAATGTCATTAAATAGTAATTAACTAGTAACTTTACATAATAGTATGATTGAAAGGAAAAAAATCCGTTTAGGAAAATGAAAAACAAACCATTCACAATAACCAAAATTAAAACTGGGTCATTTTACAAATTAATAATAAACTTTCCATTTTTATCTTGCAACATTGTAAAGTCAATTTTTAATTTTTTTTTATACGAATAATACAATTGATTATATAACCTTCACATATAATTAATAATTTATTTTTATAGGATTAAATATATTTCTAATATAATAAATTATATAATATTATTAAACGAACAATTTGGTTGAATAAGAGACATGTAATTGATTATATCTTATATAGTAAACTTTGATATTCTTAATCATTTGTGTTAAAATTATAAATTTTAATGCATAAAAAAATGGGGATAAGATTTTAACCGCTTCATTTTATTATCTTTTGATTCACAAAGTAACTTTTGTTTAATTAGTCCACGTTTTAAAAAATATTTCGAAACTATTTTTTTTTTTTAAATTATCTTCTTTGTATTTTGTTTCCTAGCAAATCTCTTTTTAAATATCAACAATTACTTCAAGATTTTTCTTTTAATTATTATTACTTTAATTAGACTACTATTCTAGAACATATCCAGTACAAAAATCTTAAATTTAAATTACGTGGAACAGTGAGAATCTTGAAATTAAAAAAAAATGATGTATAAGATTCGTAATCTTGAAAATTAAAAAAAATGAATAAATTTCAATAATTTCAAAAAAACATTAAACTAATATTTAATTATAACAATTATTTTTTAAAAATATAAAAATGGAAATACAATAAGAAAATATAAAACTATAAATTTTATGTAAGATCTCATTGTTAAAATGAAACTTGTAAAAGTTGCTTAAAAGTAGTATATTATGATAAAATTATATTAATATATTGAGTTACTACATGAATAAGTAGAAGGATTTATTTTTTTCTGTCTAATTCAAAAGTGGCATAACACGGGTCAAGTTTGTAATCAAGTTTTTCACACTTTTCTTGAAACACAAGATCTTCACTTTAGAAGTATAATCAAATATCATATTCCCTACGTCACTAAAGTTTGAAATCATTACATATGGAAAATATGATACAGTTTCGGGGAGATGTACCTAACCTGCACACGAGTCTCCACAACCATGCCCTAAAATTACACTTTTTTTTGTTTGTTTGTCTTCTGATGCTCTAATTTTACCCAATCACTTTCAACATTCACAGAATAAATTTAATTATAATATATTAATAACATAAAAAAAATTCCAATATTATGCAATTACGAATGTAAAAAGCATCTGTGTTGCAGGATCGCTTAGCTTTTGTTTGGTATTGGAACAGGGGTATCAAGCACCTAATGCATGAAAAAAAAATATTTTTTTAATAATTTATTTAGAAATTATTTTCAAACGAAGTACAGAGATAAATATTACTCTATTAAAAATTAATCGTAAAAAGGAAATTTTGAGATGTAAATATTATTTTATTGAGAAGATAAAGAATATGGCAAGATGTGTCTAGTTTCAAAAGTTTCATTGATAGGAAGACAAGTGTATGTTTTTTTTTCTTATATATAAATAACCATGAAATGAAAATTATATATAAAAAGTGTTTGCATGCCTTCAATATGATAAATTTATTGATTTTATGGTAAATATTTAAAAAATCATATCAACATTAATTTTTATTAATGTATGAAATATAATTCTATTTATCAATTTCTGACAAACATCAAATAGTAAAAAATATTTAATATCTTAAAAAAAATCATAAAAAAATAAAACATTTTTTATAAACTCTAGTATATATATAATAAAAATAAAGATATTTAATATCCTAGAAAATTGTACATAATATCTTAAATCCTGTAAAATGATTGAATATTTTTTTTTATCTATACTAATAAGAAAGAGAAAGAGAGAGAATTAAGAGATTTGTAAGAAAATTTAAAATTATTCAAAGAAATAAATTTTACCCGGACAAACACTTCTGCAACTCCACATCTTTGTGTTTTATAATTAATCCAGAAATTAAACTTTTTTGTTGTTGTTAAAATTAAATAATTTACATAGAAATATTAATGTAACTCCCACATATTCAGAAAGAAAACAACCAATTTAACAACATCCTCAAACCCAGAGTAAAAAAAATGATAGACTGTGAAACGAGTTGAGGTAAATTGACTAACGCAAAAAGATCTTCAGCCAGTCACATTCAGGGGCCAACATCAACCCTTTGGATTTTAGTGAAGCCCAACGGTTGGGTATAGGTAGAAAACAAAAACTAGGCGAAAAAAAAAACTACTTTCAAATCGTGTAGTAATTTAGTTTACATCATTTATTTTGATTGGAAGAATATACTGATTAAGTAGACGGAGGAAGGAATGTAGATATTGTGAGGGAGTGGATAAACCTTCCTGGGAGATGAAACAAGAAATACAAGTAATTTTACATAATTATCCTCCGTTTTATCGTTTCAGTAGTTATATGAATACAATATTTGTTCCTTGTAGAAAATCCTGGCTACCCACAATTTAGTTCCCTACTTAATTGACTACAAACCGAGATAATTAAGCTTTTGAATGCTATTAAAAACATGTGAATGCTTTCTATGCCAAACTTCATCATTAGAAACTCGTGAAATATTGTAGTTGAGGTGTTGTGTTTATAGGTTTTGAGGATTGTGCTTATCGCTCGAGAAAAAAGTGGTTCACTTGTAAAGTTGGGTAGTGATTGATTCATATATTATCTACTTGGTGTTGTTGTTATTGGGGTGTGTTTAATGAGGTAAGTTTGCATAATTAGAGATAACATGTATATATTAGGTTGAGAATGAATTATAGGCATAGATAACCGATTTTCGTTGAAGGAGAATTGATTCTCCTTTTACCGAAGATTGATTATGTGTGACAATAGTGAGTCGATAATTTATTCTCCTCTACCGAAATTCTCATTACAGGAGAGTTGATTCTCACCTCATTTGTATATTTGAATTTGATGTCACTTGTGTTGCAGTTTGTATAATTTGTTCGTGGTGTTGTTCTTGGAATATGTGGTGGTATTGCTAGTGTTTGTTTACGACTTACATTTTCTGTGATTATTGATGTTGGTCACGATAATCGTGCTCGTGGTATTTTTTGTAGTGGTCGTGCCAGTCGTTGTGTAACTTCTTCTTATTTTATATAGATCTTAAAGAAATAAATAAATATAATCTATAATTTGATTGAATTTACCTGTATTAATTAACCTGATTGAATTTGCATTTGTTAATTTAGTTTAGCTGAATGATTCCACTTTATTCAATTATTTATAATGTTGAAAATTAGTTTTTGTGATATAATTTGATATAATTAAAAAATTTATAATATATTATGTTTAAATATATTAAAAGTAATATCAAAATATTATATTGAAGTTAAATTTACGTATAACTATAACTATAATTATACTTTATTATATTTAATTTAAATTGAAGTATATTTAAGTAAACTTTATATATAATTATATTAAATTTATGAACTTATTTTTAACTATATATATACATTCAAAAATATTTTATAAAATATAGTATAATATTAATTTATGAAATTAGGATTAATTTAAAATTAAATATTATAATATGAAATTAAATTAAATTTGAATTATAATATATTTGATTTTGTATAAAATTATCATTTATTATATAGTTAAAAAATTTTAGTATAAAATGTAATATAGTATTACTTTTTGAATTTTGTATTAATTTAACATTAAAATATTATAATGACATTTTATTTATTTTCATGTTAATAATTAGAATCAATATTAATTATTAAAATAAAATTCCAATTGTAATTAAAAATGTTGATACCAACAGAATTTGTCTTTTTTTTTTGAGAAAAAAAAAACACTTCCGGTGTTGCAACTACAAAAACTAGTGAGAATTACTCATTTCTACTTCTACTTCTGTTGAGTAAAGCAAAAGTTGCAATTACAAATTTTGAATAAATTAATTTAATGTCAACTAAAAAATTAAAAAAAAAGAAAAATATGAGAGATTGGGTTACCAAAGACATCCCATTAATTAGTGTCTTTTTAATTTTTTTTTCATAAATAAAAAGAACTCCTTTAATATTTTATTTATAGTAAAAAATAATAAAATATAGTATATCTCAATTATAATTTTTTATATCGAAATAATAATTTAATATATTTTTCTAAATAATATTCTAAAAAATAAAATAAAATAAAAACTTTTAATAATTAATTTAAATAAAAATAATAAAAGGCAAAACATTGGGAAAGTACATATTTCGAATAATTTAATTTAACTTCAACTAAAAAATTCCTACAAAGAAAAGGAAGAGAGAGACTGGGTAAGCTAGTGAGTCTATCAGAGACTACTTGGTCACGAAGATATATACTTTTTTTCGAGGTCAATAATCTCACACGCTTTGATTTTGCTCTCTTTGGAATTCTCACACTCTTCCATTTTCTGTTCAGTTTGAGAGAAGAAAGATGATGAAGAATCAGAGCAAGCAAGTTACCTCGTTGACGACCACACGTTTGTCGCCACTGGCCAAACCCTTCTCGCTCAACCGGTCTACACTCCAACCATGTTCAAGTTCCCTTTTTTCAGGGTACCCTTTTCTTGAATCCCCAAAAGAAGGTGACTTTGATGGGTTTGCGGAGGATTTATTTTTGCCCACTTACTCACCCTTAGACCATGGGATGCAAGGAGGGCATTCTCAAGAGAGCTTGTATGCCAAAGGAAGTGATGTTGCTGACTCTACCATGTTTAAAGAAGGTAGTTTAGTTTTATTCTTTTCTTCGTTTCCTATCGTTTACTACTTTTCTTCTGTTGTCTTTGATTGAATTACTAAGGTGCTCATGATTGGCTCTTGTCCTTTTTTTTTTTTTCATTTTACTTCTTTACGATCGTCATGTTGATTTTTCAAGCCCATAGTTTTTTCTTTTTTGACCAATGTATAATTTTAGATGCAAAATATATTTATGTTAGTTGCCTTAATTATTGATTTTGCTATCACAATTTTTTGAAAATATTAAGCTTTTTACCGCTTAAATGATGATCACAAGCGGGAAATTTTCTCTGATTTGTTTTTTAGACTTTTAGTTTTTCTTCTCCTCTGCATATTTGTGTTATGGTGCAGTTGCGTCTCTACAGTTTAACAATTGAGAATGTGGTTCCATGAGCAAATCACAAACTTCTATGAAACTAAAGAAATCTTCATTCATGTCGAAATTATATTTCGAACAATCCCTAAAGCAACTCTTCATTACTTCGTATCGCAAACTCTTTATTAGCGAATTTGATATTTAAAATATCATATAATATAATCAGGCTTTTGTTGAGAGTAATAGATAGGATACATTAGTGTAAAATACCTCAGAAATTCGTATTCTTTATTTTTACTTAATATTCTTTGCTTTCCTTGCCTTTGTCCTCAAGAATGAAAATAGAAAGTTTACTATTAGCAACAACAAACATGGTATTGTTTCCCTGAATTGAAGTTTCCTTTTTACTGATATGGATGGAAATTTGAATACCAGCTATTCGTTCAACATATTAGCAATCCAACCATGGATTAAAATTTAATTGTGCACGGTTATCTTCTCGAAACTCTCAGAAGATGAACTATTCCATGAGTGTTTGAGTATCTATGCAGTGGTAAATTGGTAACAATTTACAATTATTAAGTGAATAAATGTACAATTCATTTCTGAAGTGATGGGAATGTTTACGTTACAACTAAATCCTTATCTTTATTGTTCTAGTTACCCTCCCTATATCATAAATTATAGGTTTTTAAAGCGAAGCAATAGAATTGGCTCAATTATAATGCTGCCAAGGGTATCAAAATCTTACTTCCATCTAGGATTGACCCTTAATGTTCTGTTGTTGAATTTTGGTGTAGATATTTCTTTTTGTAGTTTTAACCTGTTTAGAAAGTTATGGAATGATATATGCAGGTAAGCAGGCTGTACATGGGTTGAGTCCCTGCCTAACAGAGTCTGCCGGTACTAGTACAACTGTAGCAGAAGACCTTCTGTCAAATTCTAAAGGCACAATGCATGCAGCTGATGAATGTAGCTCTTTTCCTCTTTATAATTTCAAGATTTCTCCACTCAAATTACTAACAACAGACATGTTCTCTGCTAAAAACACTTCTCTGAATCAGTCTTCCAAAAATATGGTTGAAAATGACTCTGACGTGGATTCTCCTTGTTGGAAGGGAACCATGGCTTTTTGTGGAACTCCAATAGAAAATTCAGGATCTATACAAATTAACAATGTCGAGAAAGCAACCAGAAAACATAACAGTTTAAACCCTTTGGCTCCTCAGTTCTTTCCTCGGATTGGATATGCAAAGGACGAATTTCGATCTTCCAACTCTTGTGCACCTGTAACTACTAATTTGTTGTCAGGAGAGCACATGCTCATGAAAACTGTTATGGCTGAATCCCCTGTAGAACTGAATATGGGGATTGAGCTTCAACCTTCTAGTAACACATGTGGAAGGGAAAAGGAAGTTGATATGATTCATTATCCAAAAAATAGCTCTGTGGATCCTGTACTAAATTTGCACTGTAAGGTGACACAATCTTCCTCTAAAGAAGATTGCTCAATGTCCAAAGGCAAACTTGAAGCTTTTGTGGATGCTGATAATTTGGCAAAGGGAACTAAAGATCCCAGGGTTTGTAGGTCAATGAGTGATGCTTTTACTTCAAAGAGTCATTCTCGAATTCCAATTTTGGCATCATCATCATCGTCTGGGGTTAGTGTTGTTACTGATCTTCTAAAAACATTTGAAGGTATCTCAAAGTCCTTAATTAAATCTCCCAAACCTGATGTTGGGGTAGTTGTCAGTGTAATGCATGTTCTTTCGGAATTGCTTGTGCAAACATCCATAGATGAAGTAGACTCAAATAATGACCATGGTCATGATGAAATTATGATCCATCAAATAATCAATAACCTAAATGATTTTAGCACCAAAAGATCTGTTCAAAGGATTCCAACCCTTGATTCAATTCCTGCGGATAGTCCATTTTGTTATGATTGGTCGTTGGAGCTTCCCAAGGTATGTATGAATCTATTTCCTTGCAATTTTTGTGTACAGCAGCTTATTTAGGCCACATTTTGTTTTGTTTTCTGCTCAGTCTATATTGCTATTGAAACTGATGTGTACATGTTTACATTCAAGGGACTTGAAATGACAAGAATAGAGACCCTTAATGATCCAAACAAACTTCATCCACAAAATGATTATATGAATGAAAAAACAGTTTATAAAATGTTTGGTCAGAGTGGAAAGAGTTTTTTAGCACCTAACAGTGAAGATCAGTACAAAGGCAATGAAATTACTCAGGTACCGGCTATGATGATAACTATAATCCAATCAGGTTTTATGATTTTCAAAATCTGAAATGAATATTTGAATTACTGAAGCTGCAGGTCATTCGGAGAAGTCTAGGGAAAGCTCTGCATTTTGATAAACACATGCACCCAGAGGCTTTACTTTTTTTAAACTTATGGCTTGATTCTGTAGCGAAACGATGTTACGGAGAATATAAAACTTATCATTGCCTTATGGAAGCTGGGTTGGACGTAAATTGCACTACTGTTGTGGTACTTCCCCTCTGCCCTAAAATCTTATTACAGCCTTCTTTTTTGCTACTATTGCTTATCATAATGCTTAATATGGGCTAATTCTTGAGAAATCCATGCACAACACTCTTTAATACCCCTTTTTCAACACTCTCTACTACGTAAAATTTATTTAGGGACGATATTTGGGACTCATTAAAAACATGTTATTTTTTGGGACTTGCATTAATTTCACCCATTAGTACAACATGTGTTGAAAAAAGTGTCCTACTAACATTTGTAATATCTGTATCCTGAAATGAATATTGGAATCGGGATAAGCCTCTTGACACTCCTGAAAATCATGTCATAATTTGCATATTAACTTGGTTGATCTATCAATTACGTATTTCTATTTTCAGGAATAATTGTTGAGCTGATGGTGCCTTGTAGATTTGCGAGAGATACGATTAGATGCTGTTGTAATCAGACATTGTAAATATCGTACATATTTATTATCATCTAATTTTTTGGAATGAGTTTCTAGTTATACAAACGCAACGGAATCGCGAGTTGATGTGCTTCTATCATGCCTCACAATCCTTTTGTAATTTGATTTTGAATGTGGTAGAAATATACATGCTCAAGTTCAATTAATACATATTTGTTTGTGTTGATATTTTATTTGTATCAGCGCAAAATATACATAAGTAGGGTTCTTAAGTATTTTGCATGATCTGAGGAACTATGCAAATAGATGGTAGCTTATATATCAAGTTGTTCAATGGTGACGTACATTACAAGTTGAATGCATGAAACGTTCACCTCATCTTCCCCTTTTCTCTCAATTCAACTTTGAAGTTAGTCTATTTGTCGGTTACCGTTATCCTACTTTTCTGACGATATCTTGACATTGCTACGCGAACTGTGCATAAGCTCGCGTTCTACACCTTGTATAAATTAAACACGTGCCCAAATGGAATGTATTTTCTAATGTTATTTGATTTGTATATCTAATGATTGACAAGGTAAATGGCGTGTATATAATGAATGTTATATAAACGTTGTACTTCGAGCTTGGCTATGGTTGAAGATTATATCAGTTAAACGAATGTATTAATCTCTGCCTCTCTCATCTTCACAGTTATTCATACCATAACAAATGAGATTGACATATGTCTATTTGACTTGTGTCACAAATGTCTTTTTAATATGACATTTCTCACATTTTATCATTTATAATTTAATTAATGTAATCATCTGACGCAAAGGTAATTAAATCTAACAATAAAAATTTAAAACTAAAATGAAATAAAATTTAAACTAAGGAATCAAATTAAAACAAAAAATTAATGAGGATCCACGTTATATTTTATCCACAAAAATACCTTCCAAAGTAACTTCTTTCCAATTTTTCAAAATAAAAAATTATTAATTGTGAAGATGTTTTTAATCAGTTAATTAATTGGTTTTTTTAGTATTGTCAGGTTGTTCACTTCTGCACTTCCAATAACATAGGATGTTGGGCTCCATGCTAGGCATATCAGTATTGTGCCCAATGTGGATAGTGAAAAAGAGGAATTTGATACACACCTCGAACAATTTCTTTAGGAATGCACATCGTTGATAAACTTGTCCTCGTTTTTCTGGTAGAATCGAATGATGAATCTCGGAATCCAATATGGAAAATACACTATTACATATGGTAGAATCGAATGATGAATCTCTGAATCCAATATGGAAAATACACTGTTACATAATATACTTTTCATATCGTTATTTAATATAATTGAGGTGATATAAAATACAATTTCAACTTCAGTTTTTATTGAATCGACGTGAAAAGTAGTTTATTGACACATTTAGGTTCTGATTGTAACTTAATGTTTTTTTTTTAAACACAAAATGCTTCAGTTAAAGAAGGGTTACTCATAAGATTCGAACTCAATATCTTAGAGTTCGAAGTTGATACTTAATCATTAAACTATTAAATATTTATAATAATAACTTACAAATAAATTATATTTATATATAAATAAATATATATCCGTGTAAATATATAAATATAAAAATTTATATATTTTATATTTATATTTTACATGAATATATATTTATTTGTATATAAATATAATTTATTTGTAAGTTATTATTAAAAAAATTTAATAGTTAAAATATCAATCTTCAATTATAAAAATACTGAATTTGAGACAATTCTCTTACAAATTTAATTTGATAATGATTCAAATTTTTAAAAAATATTATATAAAAAAAAAAGAAAGGACTTATAGATAAATAAAGGAATTATTTGAATAAATAAAAATTATTGATATATTGATTAAAAAAATCAGACTTTCAGCGAACTGACTGGAAGGCGTAACGAAAAAAAAAAAGGCTTCACCCCAAGGCTGCTCTGAAATGAGACTCCAATTCCACCGGCACAGCTGATAAGTTAAATGAGATATATGCACCTCCTTTTACGATGAGAATAATAAAAAATGTCTATTGAATAACATTCCTTTTGAACGTTAAAAATATTATTTCAGACTTTAACTAGGTTAAATTTAAGAGAAGCTATAGAAGTTGTCAGACATTTGGAAACCTTGTTCCTTGTAGTTGTACTTCAAACTTTGAGCCAAAAATTCATATCGTTATGGATTTATTACTCATCGTTTGGAATCTGTGAAAACATAAAAGTAAAATCAATGCATAATATATAGTAAAGTAATGTCTAAGTTGAATATGATATTCATTCTGTAGTACATGTCTTCATTTTGGATGCTTGAATGCTCACTTCGGCATTGCCATGCTAGGATTTGAAAGACCTGGTGAACCTTCTCAGCTTGCTACTCTGGATATCGTTGTCAGTGCAGTTCTTCCTATGAAAAACTTCCAATCAGGGAGAAGTGCTTTCCTATTCTGCTGTGGACTAACCTGTGGATAGTGTAATGTGTCATATGGTGTTGTAATGCATACATTTGAGTCCCTTGTGGAGACAGCTGACTCTTCAAAAAAGTGGGTTCCATTTTGCTAATGTTTTTTAAGAGTGAATCTTGTTTTTTCAATTTGAGTATCTTACAGAAACCTTTTCATGTTTCTCTTTCATTCTCTTGGAGAGATTACTAAGATTTTTAAGCGTGAATTAATGCTTTGGTAGCAAAGGCTAACAACTTGCTTCAAAAATCGATACGATACTTTTTAAATTAACTGTTACATCATCAAGTTAAGCCTTCCTGTTCTTCTTCTGTTTCCACAACAATATTTGCTCTTCCTTTTTGCTCCGTTAAAAATGAGTGCTCCATTTGGACATTCATGATTCATATAAGTTGTTTGCTTTAGTAATCAAATAATCATAAACAATATTTAATTCTGAACATATAATATAAAGAACTTTTCAAGTGATTGTGTGGAAAGTGGAAACCTTCTCTATTTTTGTAAGATTCAGTAGTTCTGTTAGTCAATTATTGAAACAAGTGCATGACATAATTCATTTTTGAACCATGCAAGAAGTGCCCTTCTTGGACTTTTTCTCTCCATCATAATCACTATTTCCCTTTGAGCAGCAGCAGAGTGGTGTCACTATTGGATCGAAGAGTTTCATCCTGTTTATTCGTTATGTTGGAAGGATTCCGGAAGATGTTGTGTTAACATCACTTCACTGTGGGTGGCTAAGGTGGTGATGGGAGTTAGGTGAAGTATAATATTATCAAGTGGACTACATCTTAATTCCTTCAACAAATCTTATCATTGTTAACGTGGTCGGTGTTATTGCTGGATATTCTGGTGCACTTAATGGAGGACATGAATCTAGGGACCACTCCTTGGAAAGCTTTTCTTTGCCTTCTTTGAGATTTGCTGGTCGGTGTGCGAGGCATTGTTATTCCGTGCTTAGTGCTAGTTGTTGCCCTGTGTCTTAACTAAGGATATAACTAGTGCAAAAAGGAGTTTTTACGTCAGGTATTTAGAGCTTTTTACGTCGTATTTAAGTC